GTCACCTGGTGATCACACACTTGGAATTAAAGGCCGGTGCATCTCTCTATGGTAGGTAAATCCAAAAATGTCCTATGAGCAGGTACACATGTATAAGTGTATTGTGTAGCCTAAACACTTGGTGCAGCATCATTTTTTCAAACGAGGCTATAACCTGATGAAGAGAGATATTTTTAGCAGAGTTGGAAGGATACTATGCAAAGAAGAGGGTGGTGAGGATATTCATTCCTGGTTTTGGAAGGGTCATAGCAGACATGTCCTTAATTTGGATCTGGACAGACATACATACTGTCCTTGGGTCACTTTCCCAATTTAGCTTCCTTTTTCCTGTTTACTACTGCTCTGCATACTGCAGAGGCAGAACTTCATCCAGGAGCAGAGAGTGTTATTTCTGTGTAGCTGCTCTGTAAAGTTAGATTGCAGTTATTTTAACAACAGATGCCCTTTATTTTAACACCAGCTTTCCTTTTGTGCTCCGCTCAAGAAGCTGGGATAGCTGAGCTGCCCTTTCCTGATGTTCTCAGAATGTACATTTTGGACTGCTTACTGAAACATTGCTTTTTTCCCAGTCAGTTTGAAAGAACTCATGCTTGCATGCACAGAAGATATCTTCAAAGTTTTAATTCAGATATTCTGTCTAACCTAAGAAACTGGTTTAAATAGAGTTTTATTCTAGAAATGTATCTTTTGAGGATCCATGATATGAGTAGCTTCAAAATAAAGCCAGTATGTATAGCTACATATTATGTGAGACATGAAAATTTCTCACTGCAGAAGCAGAGAGCTCTATTTGAGTCTGGATTTCCCCTAAAATGTTAATTGAAGATTTTGTTTTCATGTTTTCTAGGACTAATCAAAGATTCTGATGATATATTCAATGTCATGAACCTTAAATCTTTCATTTTTGATGAAAAAGATGACTTAATTCCCCTTCATCCAATATGCTAATAGCCTCCAACATCTTTGATTTCTGCATGTTTTAATTTCCATCTTAAATTGTGAGTTAAAACTCAGCCTCCTAATAGTGCTTGAAGATAAAAAAAAAAGCAGAAAAATAGAATTAGACATGGAAGGGTTAATGTAACCTAGGCAAAAAATGAAATATCTCTCTCTCTGTATATATTTAAGTCTCTTTTGTAAAAGTATGGTTACTAACCCGAGTAGAAAATTTTCATCAGAATTCCACTGCTCTTGTGGAGCACTCTACTCAGGGACCTATCCTTTGCTGCATGACACTTTTTCTATTGGTCCTAGGAACCTGTAAACCATGTAGGATGTGCCAAATTGCATCCAAATGTGTTTGTTAGAGGCTTTTTTGTTCAGTTATAGTGTATGTGGCACTGCCATATATTTCACATATAGGAAATGCCTTTGTTATGTCCATGTCTTTGCAATTGGGAGGCCTCTTTTTAATAATTTTTTTAGGGTCTGAGTGCAAAAATGGATGTAATGCTTTAACATGCTTTGAAATACTCTCCAGTTCCTAGAGATTCATATTAATGTTTGAAGTTAGACTAAAGGTAAATTAATCTGTGTATTATGGCCCTTGTTCATCTATGTTCCAAATGAATCACAAGCCCAAAATTTAGGAACGCAAACACATTGCTTGGTGAAGCTCATTTAGAGAGATGAAGCTTTTTAGGACTTGTATCCTGGTGGCAGATCTGTGTTTAGTAGATGATGTAAGGGACCACACAATTTGTGGCTAAGGTTATTTAGAGGGGGTTCTACTTTCTTGTATTCCCTGTGGCTCAGTGAAACACTATAGATTCCTGAACTGATCAGTTTAGGAATTGCAGTGTGCAATGCAATCTGCAGACAGGACATTTTAATGTGATGCTTACAACCACGGCTGCTGCCTGAAGAAGAAATCTCACATTTCAAAAACAATCTGTCGGGATGTGCCCCCTGTTGACAAAGTGACAAAATTATCATTTGTCTCCTTAAAAAGGAAAAAAAACCCAGAAGTTTCTCTCCTCACTTAGGTAAAAAGACACCTCATAGAACCTTGGGGACTTCACCTCAAACTTAAGGATAACAAATTGGACAGAAGCCAAAAAGTCCTGCCTAAGCAATTTACTAGAAAAAGAAGACATCAAAGGAACTAATTGCTTTTTGTGGTGTTTTATCAGAAGCAAGAGCCTCTGGCCTTGGCTCGGTTTTTCTCTGTAAAGAGCTTTGTTACTTTGCTTTTTATTAAAACTTTTCTGTTTCCAACACTGCCACAGAAGCCATCCTGCTGATTTGATGCTATCTGAGATGGCTGAGCTATCTTGGGTGTGATATAGATCTCCAAGAGCTTATAAGACCTGGCTCGAGGTCTTATATCAACAATCCATGTTTTTGCACGATGTATCTTCCTTAGTTCTTCTGTCAGTGATATGATAAAATTCTCCATGTCTCATCAGCTCGACTGTATCCTCCTCAGCACCCATCCTCCATTTGTGGACAGCAGTAAGGAATATCCCCCCTTTGTTAAACGTCCTGGCAACCTATGCTTCAGGGGATTTCTGAGCTAGAAATTTCTAATGCCACTCCTGCAACTGTGTCAAATGGCCACTGGTGGACCAGAGTTTGTGGATTTGCCAGATCCTTTTAGAACTTGCTTGAACTGCTGAGTTCTAGCTCACCTTGTGACTTCCATGGTTTAATTATGCCCCATAATTAAAGAGGAAGAAAGGCTTGTGATCATTAGTTTGAACCCAGCTGCCTCATATCTTCATCAAGTGCTGGTACTTCTAAAGCTATAAGAAAACCAAACATGGGTGTATGTCCCTTTTCACCTTTGCAGTGCTACAGATAAAGACTGCATATCATTTAAATGGGGAGAAAAATGTAATTTAGGGAAGTCTTGATTTTACTAATGACAGTATCTCAAATTAAATATACCATCAGAGAAATATTTATTGTGGTGTCTCTCATGTAAAGATAGTCAACAATACTAATGACCTGCATTTCTCTTAATGGGATTGTTAAGGTGTTTCTACTTTACATGCTGCTAATGGTCCTCCATCTTTCTCACACGGAGGTCCTCAGAGAATTCTGACCTGAAACTGCTGATTAACTGCTGATTTCTGTGTGACACCACCTATATGTAATGTATAAATGCAGCTGTTTCCTGGGTGATACAGCTGTCATAACACATATTTTCCAGGAGAAGAATGCGGAACTCTGGAAGTGTATTAATGTGCCTTAATTGCCCCAGCGTCAAACACGGATAACTCCACATTAATGGTGTTCCATTAGCGTTAGAAGGTTTGTTAATGTGGGGAAGGACGATCAGGACATCTATTTAGAGAACAGCAGTCATTCATAAATTCTGGAACGGCATGTGAACTGCAACACTAACACTGTGACTAAGCAAAAAGAAAAAAAACAGACTGACATGCAGTATTTTCGTGAAATGAAAGGGTAGATAGCTACTGAACCATATTATCATAGTTATGTTACAAATATTTCATATATGTGTATTTTTAATATATGTGTAATATATATTATATATATTATTATAGTTCATACAAGAACAGCCAAATATTCATGACAAAACTGTAAGTCTCTGAGTAGGAGCTGGAAATGTGAGATCTAAAAGAGGCGAGGGTTCACATTGTGAAGTGCAGCCAAATGCATGTACAGAGATCGAGGATGCACTGAATTAACTTTTGACTTCAAAGTGAAAAATCAGCATGGATTGTCTATCACGGAACACGAAACAATAGGAAATCAAAAGCAGTTTAGTTTCCAAAGTTTAACCTTAATCTTAAGGTAAAGTGGAATAGTAAGTGAAAAATCATCATGGATTGCCTATCAAGGAAACAATAGGAAATCAAAAGCAGTTTAGTTTCCAAAGTTTAACCTTAATCTTAAGGTAAAGTGGAATAGTCTTATGTATAAAGAATTATTTCCACATGAATAAGAAAGGTGGAAATGTGGTTAAACAGCTCTAGTAGAGAGAAGGTTCTGCAAGCATTGCTGCCATTTTTGTTTTCTGGGAATGATGAAAACTCACAATTGTTCTCTTATATTTGAACTACTGCTCTCTAAAGTTGATATGGAGTACCTAATGTCCTTGTGTGCTATAATTTGTGGCGCACAAGTGGGAAGAGCCAAAAAACATGAAAAAAAAGGGCTGGATTTTGAACCTTATGACTTTGCTCTGGAATTCTTGGAAGGGCTTTTTAAAATTTGTTTAACTTTATTTTAGGGATTGCAAACAAAGAGCACTAATGAAGTTAACCTAGAATATTAGCAAACACCTTACATATGAGGACTAAACTGTAAGACAAAAGTGTGCTAGACTAGCATGCACTTAGTCTACTTCATAGATGCACCTCTGAGGAAACAGGGAATTTTGGATTGCTAATATATTTAGCTAAAGGTCTTTGAAAAATAATCATAATAATCCCATAAAAAGAAAATCAGGAGAATGGGAAGGATAAAGAAGACAAGCCAGAGACTAAAAAATGAAAAAAAAAAAAAAAAGTATAAAATATCCTGTGGTAGGATAAAAAAATGTCTGTATTTTAACCACTTATTGTACAGCATAGAGATACAGAAATATAGAAAGTTATTATTTTCTTACATGCTACTTATTTTCATTCTGAAGAGAAAGTATTTGTCCTGCAGTGTATAACTTTGTCACGTATAGAACTTTGAAATGACATTTCTACTTCACTATCTCACTCTGCTGATGACTTTAAATGTCTTTTACCCATGGTTAAAAAGTCTCCGGAATTAATTATGCCAATGTAGTGTTTAAAATTGGTTCGACCCCAACCTTTAAAAACAAAGAAACACTCTTTAAAAAAATAATAATTTCTGGGTGGATTGTTCAGCTACATCAGCATGTTTTGGAAACGGAAAGAAAAAGCCCTGCGGGGGTGAATACATTTCGTGTAAGTTCGAAAGCAGGCTCGGTGCACACCCCGCCCGCGGTGGCAGAGAAATGACTGAAATGAGCAGCTTTAAAAAGAGCGGCCTTCGTCACCCGGCCAGGCACAAGATAAAGGCAGGGCCTTATGTAACTCTGTTAAAGGAACCCGATCCTGCCGCTCTCCCCTTTCGTTTTGGGAGTCAGCGCTTTGTTTGGGGGTCCCCTTCAGCCACGCCGAGCTCCCGCATCCTGCTTCTGCTCTCCGGCACACCCGCGGCGCCACAGGTATGTGCGGGTTTGTGTGGGCTTTTAAAAAGCCGTGCCTTTTTCCCCTCAGAAACGTAGAACAAGCGCTTGCGAGGCGTGACTCAGCGTGTTCGGGAGACTTTCATTTTATTTGCAGGCAGAGTGCAAGCTCATTTAAATGCAATTGGGGGTTGCTTTCTTCCCTTTCTTTCTTTTTTTTTCCTATTTTCATTTTGAGATGATGGTTCAGAAACCTGTTATTTTTCCCTCCAGAGGTGGAGAAGACCTCGAGGAGGAAGACTCAGGAGAGCGTGTTTACAGCACACAGTGCCACACAGCAATGTCTTTACATTTTTACTACCTCTAGATTCGAGTATCTGAAAATTAATTCTTGTTTGGTCTTCTGATAAGTTCTCAAGTGCTTGCAGGAGGAAATGATGGTACACCAAGGCTGTGGGTTTTCAGATCCTCCTAAAATAACAGCTTTGATAAATGTAAGAGGGGGAAATTAATTTTTAATCAATGTTTCAATAGCATTTTAGGAATGGAAAGAGATGCTCTTTGTATGTACTACAGCAGATGCAGAAACACTGAAGTGTCTTGCCTATGCTACAGAGCTTGCAAGTCTATATGGCTTATAAACCATACAAGCCAATGCTGTCCCTCACAGTCTTGCATCTGGAGATGTTTTCATCAGTGAATATATCTTTAAATATTTCATGTTCTGTGTGTTGATTTACATGTTATCAGATAATATGAGATGTTTTCAATTAAAGCCTTTGAGGCTATACCAGTAAGGGCATTGTATTTTGTGTTTCTGGAGTTCTGAAGTATATGTTTCTTCAATATTTAATCTCTGATTTTCTTATATTTTCTGATTTAGTCTAATCAAAAGGAAACAGTCTGGGAATGAAAAATTAGTTATGAGCTTTTTCCTATTATATATTTGCACTATGTTTTGCCTTATATGCTCATTTATTCATTCATTTTTTACTGGTAAACATACTTTAAATTAGAAGTTCTATATGTGAGACCACAACCTGTAGACTAAAAAGGACGCTTATGGGTGTGGCTTATTTAAAAAAGAAAAGGTAGAATACTCATATGGATGTGTGCCCAGAGATCATACAGCTTTTATATATGACACAGTTTTTCTTCAACTGATCTGCAAAAATGAAATCTCCTGATATCTGCAATCTAGCCCTGGTGATGCTGCTTGGGAGATTCTGAATTTTAAAGTCTGCAAATCCAGAATATATTGCCCTCTAGAATTCTGTCCAAATTTCCTGGCTGTCAAGTTTTTTGCTGGCTTTCCTAAAGCTGTCCCTTTACTGCCACAAATCTTTTAAGTCCCTCTTGTCCGGGGACAGTTCAGTAACTTTTTACTTTTTCTTTTACTATTTCTCTCTGTATTTTTGACAGAGTTAAGTTTGAAGGTCCTTGTTTCTTTACTAGCAAAGTTTCTATGGCAATACACATGTTTTATCTGTAGAGAGCTTGGGTAAAGCTTTATCTAAATTCTTTCCAGGTTCTTGAATAATTTGTAGATGCTCTGGGAGGGAATATTCAAAGGAGTTATTCAGGTCTGTTCACTCAGTTGGTTAACATAAGCTTGATGGCAGAAAATCATTAACTTGAGTCCCATGAGCTGCCTACAGGTGTGTTAGATTCTGTTGGTACTTTTTGACCTTTGTGAATTACTTGTTTTCATTTAAGCAATAGTTTGAAAAAAATTAACCATACCCTACTCTTACCTTCTTGATAAAAGATTTGGCTCAACTTTTGGAATTCGATTTTTTATGTTCAGTATTGGTACATTTTTTTGGCATCTTTCCTAAGTATCCTTCTTCAAAAGTCTGCAACATCTGAGGCTAAAACTGTTTAGGTAAAGAATTTATTGATACTGAAAATTTCAGCTATGTAATATTTTAAGTCCCTGGATAAAAATGTAATGCTTAATCTATGTGTAGTTATATCTTTCTACACAGTAGCTGTTGATTTTTTCTTTTAAAATGCTGAGTCTTGTATTAAGCCTTTACTGTCTACTAAAGAAAGCTATGCATTCCTGACAGGAAATACACATGATGAAGAGTGGAAGGACTGCCTTCATCACTATGTAAATAGTTTGTGATGGTTGCCTTGCTGCTTGCTCATAACATTATTTGTATTGTGCTGCTCACTGTAGGGCATGGAAATCCTAGCATGTACCAGCTGCCTGCTGAAGACTTCATAGCATAAGAAACTCTAACAATAATCTTATTTATGTTAAATAACATAATGGGCTTATTGACTAATGCTTTATTTTAGATCAAACAGTAATGAGTATGTTCACCCTATTACTGTAATGCTTAAAAAATTCAATAGCTGATGATACTGCTGTCTTCTGATTTTTTTTCAGTGTGGTATGCTTTGGTATTCACTACTGAATGTTTTTTGTTCCTTAGTATCACACATGGCCAATGAATCGAGGCCCTGCCCATGTGATATTGGAGACAGGTTTGACTATGGAGGTCGTGGGCAGGAGGTTCAAGTTGGGCACATCAAGGCGTACGTCTGCAAACCTTCTGCCAGCACCGACAGAGCTGTCATTGTGATTCACGACATATTTGGATGGCAGCTCCCAAACACCAGATACATAGCTGATATGCTAACAACTAATGGATACATGTAAGAAATGCTACTGTTTTCAAAGGGTCTTTTTAATAGGAAATTTTGTTGAACCAACTGTTACTTTTTTTCCATATAAAGCATACAAATACAAATAATTTCACAGTCTTTCTTTATCCCCTTCTCCAAGGACCTTACTGCTAAAACAGTGAAAGAAGTCTAAGATAATTGAGTAGTCTTACCATAATGAGTTAGTAGCACAGAAGAAGAGGGAAGAAACAGAAAATTTTCTTATTGTGCATCTTTCATCCTCCATAAGCCTGTAGCAGCCTGCTTCCTCTGTGTAACTTGGCTGTTATGGTCAAAATGCCAAAGAAGCTGAAGATCTTTCTGTGAAGGGAAGGTGTACTAGCTTGTGTCAAATAGAGAAACAAATTCTCAAATATGTGAAAAGCATATTGAGTATCCTCTTTCCTGTATTACTGGGTTAGTGTTCCTTTGAGGCTAAACGTACCATGCAAATTGTAGTTTCTTTGGTTTGGTTTTGGATTTCTTTTTTTAAGTCTGGTAGGAAACCACCAAGGATTTTCAGTTGCAGTTAACTATTTATCAAACTAAGTAATGAATTTTAACAGGGTAAAATGTAACTGGAAATTATACTGTCTCCTTATTAGATGTAGAAACTTATTGAGGGTTGCTGGTATACTGCTTTGGTGTGGGTTAAGTACTATATATTCAGCAAAAGAATTTGTTGTGTAGTACATATGGCCTTCCCTTTAATTATTTTTCTGTATTATTTCATGGACATAAAATATTCTTATTTTTCTTGCAGAGCCATCTGCCCAGATTTTTTTGTGGGACAAGAAGCTTGGAAACCTTCTAATGACTGGGCATCTTTCAATGACTGGGTGAAGACACGAGATGCTGGCAAAACAGACAAGTACAGCCATTGTTCCTCGTCCACCGAGGGGACATCCATATCTCACAGGAATTTTAGCCTCAGTAAAAATGTAAAATTAGATCCTAAATTATTAGTGGGTCAAATATAGCTGGATGTCCATAAATACAAATCTCATGCAGCTCATGGGACAAGCTCATGGTTATGTGAGTGGTGCTTTACAGATAAAAGTAGACATTTGAAGAACAAAAGTTCCCAGTGTTTGTCTGTACAGAAAGTAGAAGCAAAATGAATGAATGAAAAGGAAAGAACCAGCAAAGGCTAGAAAATGCAGCTCACTCCAGCCGCTTGGATCCCTCAGGAAGGCACAAATTCCATGGATTTTAGATAGGGTGCAAATGCAAACACTGTGTAACGAGGGAACGTTTCTTCTGCTCCCCATCAGATCACAGCTAGTTCAAAGCATACTGCTTTCCCATTTTTCCCATTTTTATCTGACACATACCTTGATTGCATAAAGTAACTGCTGGTTTAAAAAAAAAAAAAAATTGGAAATTTATTTCCCCAATTTTATAAAATATTTTTCATCCTTGTGAGAGATGTTTTGCATAGAAGTCACATTTGCGATAACATGATGCTCTTGACTGGCTGTGGGTCTGAAACTTTTGTGTTTGCCTATGTGATATCTACTGCTATTTGTGAAATGAATTGGACTGCTGTTCATAAAATCACCTCATGTCCTAGTAACAATGATCTAGGAAGACTGATTTTCTCCTTTGTCTTCTTCACTGGAGTTTGTCTTGTATTTTAGAAATAATAGTAACAGAAAAATGGTAAAGTAGCATTGTGGGTTGACCCCAACCAGCAGCCAACAACCTGGACTACCACTCAGTCGCTCCTATGAGAGGAACAGGGGAGAGAATAAGGGAAAAAAGCAAGAAAACTCATGGGTTGAGATAAAGACAATTTGATAAGTAAGGGAAAGAGAAAAACCAGGAGTGATACAAAGGCAGTCACTTTGTCCCAGAAGCAGACTGATACCCACCCAGACTTTGAGCAGCAGCCACCAAAGAGGCCAGAGAAACAGGCTAGAGCCTTAATTCACTTTCATTTGCATGTCTCAGAGAAGTTGATGTCGTCCTCAAGTATCTAAAGGACCAATGTGGTGCGAAGAAGATTGGTGTCATTGGCTTTTGCTGGGGTGGAGCAGCAGTGCAACATCTGATGCTGAAAAATCCTCATTTAAAGACCGGAGTGTCCCTCTATGGTAAGCCTGAAATACCTGCTGCATTCTCAGCAGAATACCAGTGCAGGAAGCAATTCTTTAGGGCTATTGCTGTAACAAAATTCAGTGTGACTTCTAGTGGAACAAGGTGATTTTATTGTAAATAATCTATAAGTGATTTGATTTTGTACATTCATATTTTTACACTTAGGTGTACCTAGCAAGATCTGTGTATTTAAAGAGTGGCATGACAAGGATCGCATCTGTGAACATAGTGCCAAATGCCATGGCCTCACTCATTTTGTGGCGATGACAAAAGGGCTTCTGGGCACATCTTTTGCATCTTTTAGACAGTGATCCCTCATTACTAATAGGACCCATTTTTAGCTCTCTATTTTGACCCTGTAGTCTCACACATTGCTCAATGCATTTATGCTGCCTTTGATATTTTTCTTATTACATTCTGTACTTCTACAGAACTCAGACCCACTTAAAAAAAATTAGAGGTGAAAGCAAATTGAAGATATTTTTCCAGAAAGATTATTGGGATTGTTTTGCTGCACTGATATGTTGATCACTTGACTCCATTCAACAGTGTTACTTGCTAATATTTTACTTTTTTGTTGTAATAATCTCAGGAATGAAAAGAATAGCCAGGGTGGCAGCTGGTTAATTTTACTGTAACTTTTATTCAAATATATTTGAATTGTCAAAATTACAATGTCAATTTGTTATGAAGTCATATCAATGTAAATATATGTAAACTGATATTGTAACCTTCTATGTGGAATGATGAATAGTAACAATTATCTTAAAAATGGTCATCCCAAGCCAGAGGCGAGCAGTTCCAAAGTGTCCATCTCTCACAGAACCCTGTCTCTGACAGTGGTCAATAGCAGCTGCTTAAAGCAAGCCAGAAAAATGGGGCAAATATAACAATTCTTTCCTAATTTTTCCCACAGAACTGGTCTCTGTTTTTTTTGTTTTTTTTTTTTTTTTTTTTTACACAGCTATCTTTAATGACATTGCAAACATTCTACAACAAAAAGGACTTTTAAACAGAATGTGTTAAATTCCACTACAAACTGATCAGCTGTAACTGATGAAAATGTCTTGAAGTTTCATTGTACAGATTTTGTAGTGTTTTAGCTACTTTAGGTAGCATAACTTCTTGTATGTATGTTTTCTTCTTCCTTAGGAGTGATCAGCCGTTTTGAGGACAAACACAGTTTGCTGCATCCTACCTTCTTCATTTTTGGTGAGAAGGATAACATTATTCCATTGGAGCAGGTGAGTTTCCCATCACAGATATTTCACTTCTTAATGCTTTTCATGCTTGTTTTGTAATTTGGTTTTAATAAACACGAAGTAGAAAACTAATTTGTACTTTTCTTTCTCTTTCACTAACTCTTACAGTACTTCTATACAAATTTCTGTTGCTTATCCCCAAATCAAAAAGTTTTACCATGACACTAAAAGCATATTCTGTTCCTGTTTGAAAATTTGGGTGATTTTCAGTTCCTAGGAAAAGTGCAAGAGTCCAAAGAAAGCCTTCCAACAAGTTTAAGATAGGAGAACCTTTTTAGTGGTATAGTGGTCCATAAAATCTGCCTGTCCCAATGGAATCACTTGTTGTAGGAGAATTAAAAAGATCTTGTGGCTATCCTTTTTCCCCTGCCTTGCAGAGATTCTCCTTTCTGTCACTCTGTCAACAGCCTTTCTCTGGAGTCTGAGTGGAGAATGGTTGGAGAAAGATGATTATCTGCCAAGGGGATCAAAGGGAAATACGTTTTTATTGAGTGATGTTGGCTTTAGTTTTCCTAGCAAAAATTCCAGCCACTTTGAACTGCTGATTTTGTCTCTGCCCCTCCTCCCTCAACTTCTAATTCAAAGTCTTGCCACAGTTTTTTTAATGTGTGGTCTATCAGCAGCAACTCATACAGTGTTCACTACATGATAACCTTCTCATGATGCTGACCAGTAGGTTTTTCACCTTTACAGGTATTAATAGTAACCCATGTAATATTTTTCTACATTTTTATGCCGTCACATGCTGGTATTTTACTGGGGGAAAAAAAAAAGCCTAGTTAAATAAAGCAAGTGCAGTAACAGAAATGCATTTAGGTATAAAATTAGTAGAAGAGAAAATGGTGGCAAGGATAAATTATGTATGTCTTTCAGAAAAGTAAAAAATGAAGACAGTTTTGGGACTGTAAATATACAATGTGTTAACTTTGTACTCAGCCAACATAGAATGTTCTGTGTTACAGGTGACCTTGCTGGAGCAGAAGCTTAAACAAAACTGTAAAGTTGATTATGAAGTTAAAATTTACCCTGGACAGACACATGGGTTTGTGCATCGCAAAAGAGAAGATATCAATCCTCAAGATAAACCTTATATTGAGGAAGGAAGAAAGGATATGATCAACTGGCTGAATAAATATCTTTAGGTTAAATTAATGCCAATAAACAAAATCAATTGTCATAGGAGAAGAAAACAATACAGACTATATTCTTAAAATGTTCTTACAACCATAACATTATTTTGTAAAACTCTTCTGCAATAACACTACTTATTTGCACTTACCTTCTAAGTAGGGGCTTACAAATGGCTTTTCAAATGCTGAAAGCTATAAATGTAAAGAAGGTTTTTAACACTGGTCTTATATATCTTAAAATTATTAGAATTTCATGTGGCATATTTTCTGGCACCTGAAAGTTTAATTTTTTTATATCAATATTAACATGATTAAAAATCATTGAAACTGTGCCCACGCTTGAGAAGTTATCTCCTTAAAGTTGTGTTCAGCATTGTTTAGCTGTGGGATTTTCAGCTTCAAGATTTTAGGTAAATATTGTTTACCTAAACTATATTAGGTAACTAACTATTATTTAGTTCTGGGTTGGAAGACTGGAAGATTTTCTTGGAAACAGGATATCCTCTTCAGAACTCATGAAAAGAGAGCTAGTAAAGGGAAGGGGAAAGACAATGGAAAGAAATGTATGTGAACAGAAAGGGAGCTGCAAAAAGTTGGGAACCAAGACTCAAGTGAAGAGATTAGAGGAAATCACATCATTTCACAGTTATCTTGAGGCAAATCCTTCATTTCTCATGGTTTCAGGCAGTTTCCCTACCTACCAAACCTAATTCAGAGTTTGATCTAAACCAACCTCCAACATGACCTCCTCACCTCCACAAATCACTCCTTTATTATCAGGTTTCTCTCTGCTCTGATTTAACTGGGTAAGCTCCAGCCCATTCCTAGCGACTGGGGGAACATTACCCTGTTTCAGCTCCTTTGGGCCCTCCCAGTGTAATTTCCAAAAACCACGTGGTGAGATCTTGCCTGTGTTTGTGATGCTGAGGGAATAGACGTGGCTAAAATACTGTACTGAATATTACTCATTTTCCCCTCTGGGAAATAAATGTGTGAGCCCAGGGAGCTTTCAGAGAATATTGCCTTTCTAGTTGCAGCCCCTCCATGGTTTCCATTGCCGCACAACATTTTTTCTTTTTGAGTTTGCTGCTGCCAGCCATGCCTGACAGCTCCTTCAGGAAGTCATGTTCCCACTGGCTCTTTCCTAGCTGGGAACCTAAGTAGTCTGTGGTAGAGTTGTAGCTGCATATGTGTCTGAACTTCATGGTGTCTCTGGAGTCTCCCACCATGTGGGTTCCACCTCAGGTCCCAAATCCCCAGCAGTGCTTCATCCATCCCTCCATTTCAACCCCTTTCCTCACACCACTCCTTCCTTCCTGCAATGCACTCTGTATGTCCTGTGAGAAAATAGCTCTCTCTGTAGCACAGTGGTTGATATTAATGAAAATCTCCCGTCTTTCAAAAAGATTTCATGCCAATCTCTGAGGCAAAATTGCAAAATCTTCCTTTGCTCCTTGGTTCATGGCCTTGGTCAGGGATTATTGCTATTCTGTGGTTTGGACCCTGCTCATTGTGTTTCCATCTCCTTGCTCAATAACTGTGAGAGAGATGAGCCTTCAGTTCTTACTGGGTCCAGCCAGTGCAGGGAAAGCCTCTTCAGGTCTGCAGGGCACTGCTGCGATCAGTCATGCTGGAAGAAATAGTCCCTCCACACTGGAGAAGTTCCATGATGCCTCCCCTGATCTTGCCCTTGTGCACAATCTGTGCAGACTCCCAGTGACTTATAGACAGAGGGAAGGGCCAGACAGTGACTTCTGTGCTTCCTGCCAGTCCTGGCATGGCTCTGTTCTCAGCAGGTAGAAGAGGAACAGTTTCCCAGGAGAGAACTGCAGACTCCTCCATGCACTGGCACATGCACACCTGAGGTGTGTGCCTGCCCAGCTCTAGGGAATGGGAACATAACAATGCACAAACCTGCCTGGAAGGAAGCAATGTAGGTTTGTGGTTCAGGTAATCTTTAAAGTGTAAATTCAATTCCCAGCTCTGGATTCATGCCCAGTTTTATCAGGGTTGCTATGAGAACAGGGAGAGATGATGAAACTGAACTCTCTACAACTATTTTCTCATGTGGATTTTAAATAAAAGAGCCTTGGTTTCTCTGAAGATAATGTCTTGGTTGGCAAACCTGTCTAGCTTGGTTTTTTATGTGAATGAACAGATGTCTTAGGGACTAGGGCAAAGTGTTGCCAAATTTTCCCTGAGATGGGGAAAGACTGTAAAACTGAAGAGTATTTTGCCAACGTTAATTTTCCTTGGAGAATTCAGAGTCTCTTGCTGTAGGACAGGTGTTACATTTTATTATATATTTTGTTTCATAAAAAAAACCCAGAAATGGGTGCATTAGAAAAGGTCATTGCCAGCAGGTCAAGGGAGATTATCCTGCTCCTCTATTCAGTTCTGGTGATGCCACATCTGGAATGCTGTGTCCAGTTCTGGATTCCTCTGTACAAGAGAGACACGAAGCTCCTGAAGCAGGTCCAGCAGAGGGCAACAAAGATGATGAAGGGACTGGAATATCTCTCTTACAAGAAGAGGCTGGGACAACTGGGCCTGTTCAGCCTGAAGAAGAGATGACTGAGTGGGGACCTCATATGTGTCTATAAGTATCTGCAGGGAAGGGGTCAAGAGGACAGAGCCAGGCTCTTCTTCATGGTGGCAAGCAATAGGAGAAGAGTCAATGGGAAGTTCCAAGTGAATATGAAGAGGAACTTTACTGTGTAGGTGACCATGGACTGAAGCATATTGCCCAGAGCAGCTGTGGAGTCTCCCTTAGTGAAGGTATTCCAGGACTGTCTGGATGCAATCCTGTGCAATGAGCTCTGGGATGACTCTGCTTGAGCAAGGAGATTAGACCAGATGACCCACTGTGGTCTCTTCCAACCTCAGCAGTGGTTTTGTGATTCTGTAAAATACACTATCTAAGACGAAAGACTCAGAAAACTCAATACTGGCACAAGCATTTTGGTAGCGTCTGTTATCCTTAATCAGTTTAATATTACACTGGCTTAACTTCTACTCCAATTTGCTTGCATTTTTTACATGCTGAATGGGTTTCAGTTAACTATTTATGGCAACAGTTTGTAATCTACAAAATGCCTCTTCAACTCTGTTCCTTTTTCTGCATTGCTCTCTGTCATGTTCACATTTATTGTTGTGGGGTTTTTTTACTGTGGTGTCCAAACCAGACAGCCACTGTTTTGTCTTGTTAATTTTTCTCAGCTTCTTTGACTCCTAAATTGGAATGGGCTTTTAGTGTAGAGGCCATAGTCAGCAAAGACAAAGAAAAGCAGTCTTGCTCCACTCACTCACCCCCACTCCGCCCCTGCCCCAGACATACATATGTAGCAGTGCCAATATTCCTATAAAATTATGTGCACTCAGTATAAAACAATGCCCTCCACCTTCTGGCCTGTGGGCAGGAGGACATCTATGATTTATGGTATATAGTAAGAGGCTGTACACTTGCTTTAAAAATGTGTTCTTCTGTACAGCACCAACTGCACGAATGTGGGGAGCAGCTCTTCCTCAGCTGCAAACTCTGACTCCAAGGAGCTCTGCTGCTGGGTCTTGAAAGGGCTTTTTTGTCTTATTTTTTCTTCAAAGCAGGCCCTAGGGAAGGAGCTGAATGTTTGCTATGCTGGATTAGTGAGGCTTCAGGGCTAGAAGCCTGACCAGAATTTGAACTTGATGGAATTTGGAGAATTGATGGAAGATGTGACAGAGATGACTACACCAATAGATTCAGGTCCAGTCCATCTGAATGCCTTGTTGTAACTCATTTTGGCCACGTTCACAGGCATACTAAGTTTGGTATTCAGGACTGTAGTTGCCTACATAGATTGTGATCAACATGGACTCCCTACCTTTAACTAATGAAATTTCAATGTATTTTGCCACAGACCTGGAGTGGTAGCTTAGGCTCTAGAAAGTTGCACTGAAGACACAATTTTTTGAGGTAGGTTGTTTTGTCACAGGGACACAAAACAATCTAGTTTCATTTTATTTGAGGTAAAAAAATAAAGGTAGACCACTGAAAGCACTTTAGTCAGAGCTCCCATGGGAAGAGCAATGGGAATTTGGTACCTGCTTCCACTTTATACCTTCAGAAACCTCCAGCACGCTTCACTTATTTTGTGGTTTCTAATGTTTGGCACTGAAATTTATCAAAGCCCAGTGAATAACAGAATGCTAAATTTCAGATAGTGAGGAACAGAATGGGCTAATGAAGCTCCAAAACAAAGTTCCCCTTTCAGACCATCAGTGGAGCAGATGGTGACACCTGTGGCAATACATTTTCTTTCCTTCCTTTCTTGCCACTGATGTATTAAGAACTCATGAGGAAATTTCACATCTGGGTTGGTAGTTTGCCCAGAACTTCAGCAAAGCTATACTAATGTTATTTGTTAGGGGGATTGCAAGTCATTCCAACTGCACTAATAAACTGTTCTTCAGTTTTACTTCCAGGTGTTGAGCTTATAGATTGTTGACTATTTCTTTAAAGTTCTTTTTATTTTTCCAGAATCCTTAGAAAATTAAGAAAATTGCTAAGAAACTTTAGATGGGTGGCTAAGCCAAAGTAAAAAACCTATGTCATTCAGTAAAGAAAAAAAAACTTTCTTTTTCCTCTGACTTCTTTGAGCAAAAAGCAGAAGGTAATTTTTAGGCATGGGTGTTTGCAAGAAGAAAGAGATGCAGGGGGAAGGGATAAGCTTGCCTGTTGTTGTATATATTTGCAAGAACTGTACTTTGCAGTGCTCTGTGATGCTGCTTTGGAGAGCAGTGAGCTGTGAAAGCTCTCTCCTTGTCAGTAGGACAGCAGTGGGGCAGCAGCTCAGGGTAGGTTAGCAGTGCAAGGTAAGTTGATCCTGTTGGATGGCTTGAGTAGACTGAGAGCTTGTTATTGCCCGGCCTTTCCCCTGTTTTCCTCACCCAGCTGGTTTATCCCTAAAATCACTCAGAATTTTTCTTTCTGAGACATAGATACACCCTGGTGAAAATGAAAGGGACAGACTCACTCATGTGTTATCTACTACAGATGAAACCAACTTCTGCCTGCACAGGTAGAGGTGGCCTCCCGCTCAGGGGTGCTCCTGAAGTGTACAGGCTGTACATCACACCTGTGTTTTCAGATGTGATAACCAGAAGAAATGGCTGCACAGGCAAGTAAAGTAGAGGTGGCCTACTGCTCAGGGGTGCTCCTGAAGTGTATAGGCTGTACATCACACCTGTGTTTTCAGATGTGATAACCAGAAGAAATGTTATCTCTTTATAGTGATATATAACAAATAGTGCTAAAAAAGCTAAATAAATAAAATTGTGGAAATTTCTTTGC